TCTCCTTTTAAATTTCGGAATGGCCATTAAAAAAAAGAAAAATATTTTTCATGGAGTTTTAATGCTTTCTTTATTCCATAATTTTTAGAATCATTGTGCATAATAACTGATTCATTAATAAACATATTGGATTTCAAGGTGAACTTGTATTTCGCCGATATTCTTGGTTGTTATCAAGTCTTGGAGTAAAAAAAATAACTATAGCCGTCGTACTAGATAATACCGGRTGTAGCGCAGGCTACAAAATAACATATTGATCAAARAAGCATTAGAAAGGAAATTCCGTTGCCATTGCSACCCAGTGTCTACCCAATARAGTTTGAGATGCTTTGGGAACATTGYCGCGCGATTTTAGAGAGAAACAGCATTTGTCGCTAGGAAAACTCTTCTCCCGACTCTCGGATATACATATATATATTGATCGTTTTCAACCATTCCCATGAGATTCAAGAGATAAAAGAGCGGCGGCCATGTTGGAGGAATGAACAATAGATACTTTGTTAACCTTCCTCCAAGATGGCCGCTGTGACGTAATATGAAAACGAAGAATAGCGTAGCGCGCTAGAATTTTTGCAGATGTGGCCTAGGCTAGTGGAAGTAGTATTATTACTTGAAATCTGTTATGTAAAYTATCTTTTAATCCACAAGATCTTATTTAACAAAATTAGCGATAAATACTGAAAAGTATCAATATGGAATGACTTCGATAAATACGCAAAGGCGCGAGTATTATACCGAAAAATGATAAAGATTAAATGTATTCAATTATCACTTTTCCACAAATCAAATTCATGTTTCTTATTTTACAATGTTCGTATGAAATATTTAAATATATGGTGTCTTTGATCATTTATTTAACCCACCACCCCAAAAAAGCGCGTAAATTCATAATCACTGCGTTTTGAAGACGATGGCACTTGAAAGAGGACAAATTGAATTGGTATCGGAAATTCATATAAAATTGAGTAATTTCAAAAAAGTATGGAGGGACGTACGAAATGTTTTTACACTATTGACAGATATCGTCATAGAAATTGCTACATTACAAATAGAAAGGCAATCCAAAAATGCTATATTAACCGAAGACTTTGGTTCACAACACGGTTTCCCGTTCATTGATCAAGTACTTTTCTTCGATGGGATATTCTACTCTCGCMGTCGCCTCTAGTCTGTCGATTGGCTTAAAACACCAAATTAGCCCAAATATCACGCTACCGAGCAACATAGGACCTCCTGCCAAGAAGAAAACATCTCTGTAGCGTCCAGTAGCATCTGCTAGCCAACCTGTAATGTAACAARGGGCCRCACACATTAAACAAGACATCGTTTTGTTTARAAACAGGCTGTACGCTTAACTTACAATAATTAACCGAGTATATATATTACTAAACATACTATTTCTCCTCGATTATTGAGTTAAAAATTGATAAAAGTTTCATTAACTTTTACAGGCTGCCTCATCAATTAACTGAGCGTTTGCAATTTCCGAAATGGACATTGGATTCCAGTACGTTATTTGCRAGGGAATAATTGATTGATGGAATTGATTAATTAATTTGTAGCGTGCAAGCTTGAGTTGATTGATTGATCGATTGATTGACTGATCGATTGATAGGTTTATTGATTGACAGATTCAATCAGTCAGTCAGTGATTGACAGTTAATCCAATTGACTTACTTCCCGCAGGAGCTCCCACAAGCATTGTGAGTGACATGCACATAAGGACCCCACCCCAAGCGTGGGACATGCTTTCATCATCACAACATTCAAACGTAACAATTGACATTAGACCAATGAACGAACCATCCAGAATCCCAATCACTACCACGTAAATGACCAGCATTTTGTAATTGGTTGCCATGATACAAAGAGCCGACGCAAAACCAGTYAATACCATGCAAAYCTTYAAACATTTAAGACAGTAACATGAGTAACAGCTTATAAMCAGTAAAATATCCCTAAGAGTGGGAGTGCTTGGAAATTGAACATTTCAATTAGAACAAACTATCRCAGGGCTGTCTACACGTACGATTTGAGGTGCGCAAGAACAAAATGGCGATTGTCGCGTGAAAATCGCGCTGCAAAAATCGCAAGTGTAAACCGGCCTTTAAAAAACGTAAAKAAGCAGCCAGCGATATGATGTAAGCTTGCATGGTGTATTCAATGTAATACTCAAAGAACAGACTTAAGACCTCAAGTGTAATATTCAAAGTTTCTAGATGACTAACAGCTTACTAAATCATCACATAGCATGTCACCGTACCAAAACTTCCCTAATTATTTGATTTGAATTTCTTTGTTTAGGTACCGGAAACCTATCCGTATCGCATTCTCTTTCGTTTTAGTCTATTATGGCGTTTTTGGAAAGCTGGAGACACATTGAAACAATGACAGCAAAGGGCAACAGTACACTTTCGATATCTTGGTTGACTACCTAATCACAAAAGAATTGAAGACGARGCTCTTGGGAAACGATAGATAATCCTTTTATTGCCMCCGAGCCTCGTCTCCAGTTTTGTGTGAGTGGCYAGCCAACCAGAATATCGAAATTGGGCAAATACAAAGAGCAGCGCTTACCTGATATAAAATCAAAGTATTTACATGCTTAAAGTCCGATATTTTTCCAAATATAACTTTCCCAATCGCCGACGTTGCACTCATGTAAGTAAGYAGCAAGGAGCCTTGCCTATACGACCCACCTAGTTCTTCACATAAGCGGACCTACAACAGTAATAAAAGTTGAAGTTCGGCACACATTTTATTATATTGGAAAAGATTTTTAACGCKGTTCATTCATGTTATATATTTCATATCTTTGCATGCTAGAGCAATATATGACGACTTCTAAATCTACATTCCCCCTACTAATGCTTTTTGACTAATAGGGCAAAGTACTGGTTATTGATAAACACTGGAAAAAATCGCGAGCTTTAAAGTTTGTAAATTTGATGCAAAGATGCAAAAATCATTTTCATCAAATTTACAGAATTTTGGACACATCATATATTTAGATCAAATTTACAACCTTTAAAGCGCGCGATTTTTTTCCAGTAAAAAGGTTTTCAACGAAACTTAAAACCATCTGATGGTAGCGAGGCCGAGTGGTCTAAGGCGCTGGTTTTAGGCACCAGTCTCGTTAGAGGCGTGGGTTCGAATTCCACCGCTGCCATTCTTTTACCGGTTTCTTGCCAAAACACGGTAAAGATTTGCAATTAAT